CTAAGAATGCAGCAAATATTGTATCACTGTAGGGGTAACCATGACTGAGACTTTGTAGAACTGTACCGCTTGTTCAAATGGATTAAAGGATTAATTTATTAATGCCTTAACTGAGTGAGACCTCATCTCTTTGTAGTGACTCGATTAGACTAGGTTTCAAATTGTAACTGACCTTCATCAGAAAGAGATTACATCCTACCTAATAACCTTTAGTCAGCCATTGCTAATTGCATGTCAAAGAAGTTTATTGTTTCGGATACAATATGTGAAAAATTACCAAACTGTTTGTGAGGAGAAGACTAAGATCTACTCACAACCACCCAAGAAAGGAAAAAAAAAAAAAATAGAGGCGATGATTCGGCTAGCTGCATAAGCAGGTGCCTAGCTTGAAGTACATTACCACTGCTGTTGACCCAGCCATACAGGGATTACTTGTATCCTGGAAGCTGGCTCTGAATTTTAGCCGTTTGCTGAACTAGGACCTTTGCACCTATTCCTGGGTATAGGAGTAATTATGCTAAATAAATTGCTTCCCAACCCCATTTAATTTTTGAGCTGTATTACTCTGTGAATACCTAAAGACGTCCACACATTTGACAGTAAAACAATTCATTTCTCTTCCTAAATTGAAATAACACTGTTAAAAAAGAAGAAACCCCCCTCCTTCTTGTAACAGATGTTGCAAAAATTATCAATCTCTTTGCCTAAATAGACTTTATTGGACACACATTAAGCTGAAAACATAACCAGTGATAGGTTGTTTTTCCTCAGACAGTGGAAACAATACTTGAAGAACTTTCACTTTCCTCGAGTGGTGTTAATCAACGGCAGAAGTTGAGGACGCTCAGCAGGCTGGTGGCCAAAAAATGCAAGCAGCTGCTGGAGAGAGGGAATCCCCCAGTGAGCAGATGATAGGGTGCAAGAGGGTTTTCCTTTCTGCACCCTGGTGTGGTTCTCTATTGTACTTTGTTTCCACTCGCACCCAATAAAAAGCATATACTGCACTTCAAACTTCCCAAAGTCATCAGCATCTAAGTGTTAGTCTCTGCAAGCTGGGAACAAACAGCTCCTGAGCTCTCACTCGCACGAGTCCCTTCTTGCCAGGTTTGTTTTCCCTTAGCCTGCACTGTACTGTTTCTTCCACTCTCCCACCCAAATCTTTTCATTATTTTTCTCTTATTGCCCCCCTAACAGACACATGGGGGTTTGTTGTTGTGGCTACATACACGTTCATCTTTCTAATCGCACGTGTAAACGCAGATGTATTCACCACCTCATTCATTTGCTTTGCTGTTACCTAGCGTTCCCTTTAGCTTTTGCACACAGGGCTTAACCACTTAACCTCTGCCCATAGTTAGCTATTTTACAGCAGCCAACTTGCTTTCACTTTATGTTCCCCAAACACCATGGCTTCTTCACTTTAAAAGCTCAGTCCACCAAAAAAAAAAAAAAAAAAAAAAAAGCGCATCCATGCAAATGTTCATATAGACAGACACAGAAAGAGCTATACAAACCATGATTGAATTCACTGATGCTGTCACTGGTTAAAGTTGCTGCATGAGACATGCAACAGAGGCAGCACAGCTGAAGGGTCTGCAAGAGAAAAAAAAAAAAAAAAGAAAAAGAGAGAAAAAAGGAGCATTGGGCGAGATTTACTTGACAAGGGAAGGCAGAAAGACAAGGCACCAGAAACTGTGCAGTAACCTGGTATGAAAGCACACCAGGCGACTGCAAAAGAAAGTGCTCTCGACCTGCCTTTACAGCGCTTCCGAG